TTTTTTTTAAATTTATTATTATTAGTTTTTACATTAAACAAATATTCTCTGATTCATGCTAAAGAAGCACTAGCAGAATTATGGGATGTAGAAGATAGCGAATTACTCAATTTTTTGGCCATTGAAGAGAAATTAACCATAGTGGATAGAACTTTGCAACTACTGCTAGAAAATTACGACTTAAGTTTTGGAGGAACATATTTAGACGTAAAAAATAAAAAAGTATTTGTCAATACGGTAGACTTTTCAGTAATGAATAGTATTACAGACTCGCCTGAGATAAAAAAAGGGGATTACATAAATTTTATAAAATTTATACCAGCAAATAATTCAATGGCTACATTAACATTTCGCTTTAATAACATATTTGATTTAATAAAAAAATATAAACCAACTAGCATTCAACTTTACATTGATATGGAGCTTAATAATGTAGTAATACGCCATCTGGAGGAAAATATTAAAAAGAATGAGGTGTTTATAAAACTCGCTAGTCAATATGAACCAACTTTTGTTCACCCCAGTGCCATCCCAAACCCTAGATGTCAAAACCAAAAAATACCACAAACTCAGATCTTAAATAGAGATCTGATAAAACCCTTGATTCTTTATGGAGATGGTATATATAATAATGCCACTGGTGGTTTTTGTTCGGCGGGTTTTTTGGCAAGAAGTAATCAAAGTGAAAGTCCGAATTACATTGTAACCGCAGGACACTGTTCTGATCAATTTCAGAGATTTAGTAATGTAGCACAACCATTTTATCATTTTCCGTGGGATTCTGAAAAACCTCTCAATTCTCTCAATTTCTTAGGCCGAATGGTAGAATCCGATAATATAGACCTATACGATTTTGGTTTGATCGAAAGGGTAGATAATGATGTTGAACAATCAACGTCTATAAGAAATACAGATTCTAATGAACATGCCGAATTATTTGTTGAAGGTGGTAAAATTATAACTAGCCATGGTGCACATTTATGTAAATCTGGTATGACTACACATACTACTTGCGGATATGTAAGAGGATTAAATGCAGTTACAATAAATAAAATTGGGTTTATGGGAACAGATCATATCCTTGCCGGTAAAAAATCTTTTCAAATGTCTTGTCCAGGCGATAGTGGTGCTCCTGCCTTTTCTTATTTACGAGATTTATCAACTGTGAGTCTAAATGGTATGCTCATTCAAGGTTTTCATGATTTTAGTGTATACGTGCCATTAAATACAATTCTCAATAAAGGTGGTTTAGAACTCGTTAAATCTTAAAGACCTGATGAAATATTCATTTTCTCTATTAAGGAACGATAAAGTTATTCATCCATACTGCCACAGGATATTACTAAAATTATTTAATATAGCTTTATTAAATGTAATAAAAGTATTTTTTTATTATCAAACCTGTAATTAGAATTCTCTACAATTAAATTGATTTTTATAATTTTTCTATAATTTAAATTCTCGACTATAGCGAAAATATAGTAAATGGTCATATAAAAGATCCTCCTGAATGTAGACTCATACGTACTAGGCTCTGATGTGAATATCAGGACCTTCTTAACTGAAATACAATTCTTTTAAAAAACTTAAACTGCATGTTATAACTGCAAAGTGCGTATGAATTTCAAATTTTTATTTTCTATAATATAAACTCTCAGTCAAGTAATATAAATGGGTACTTAGTGACTGGAATCGATAACTCGTGACTCAAATAACTTGAATTTATCTTGATTCGAATTATGAAATTTGTACTCGAGAGTTACTCGCGAATTAGTTTAATTTACAAAATTTTTTAATAAATTAATTTCGTGTTTCGGATTACTCGAATAAGATAATTAAAATATGATTCGAATATTCTTTTGAATTTAATTCGCAAGTCACAACTGTATCGAGTCCAGTCACTACGAGGTCTATTAGAGGTTTTAAAATTGATGACCCTGCTATTCGATATGGTCATTTGTGGTAATAAATCATTCGTAATAAAATTATTCTGAATCGTTGGGTATTAGCGGCTGGGCTGTCAACTAAGTAAATCAAAGTTATTTCACTAATATTTAAGCTTACCAAAATTTTTGATCAGTACGATTAACAAGCGACATATTTACATATAAAAATACATAAAATTGGCTTACCATTTTTTAGATGCACAGGTTGCAATTTTCTTTTTTTAGCAGAAAGTTTTAATGTCAATCGACTCTTTCTTATTCCAGTAACAAAGTTACAGAGTCGTTTTCTACATTACATATGGAAAATGAATTTTTTTTTCTAACTTACTTTATCTGTATTTTGTTTGGACAATAAGACGAATTTAAGTTTCTAGTAAATTTTTTTTATTTAAATATAAAATTTAACAGTAACTTGTTTTGTAGAGACTTTCTATCGATCCATTTAAAATTTGAGCTTCTAATTTTAGTCGTAAAGGCCCTGCATCTAAATAAATGTGGCGACTGAAGCTGAGATTGAGGTTTCTATTTAAATCT